CTTTGCAGTTCAAGAATACTCTACCCAGAAAATGACATTGCTGACATATACCATAGGATGGCAGAAAAGGTGAACTATTATTTGTTTATCTATTATTATTAAATATTTCTAGTCGTGTAAGAACAAAGTAGTTTCATCTGAATTACCCCATAATATGGCAGAAAAGTGAATTATCCATTTTTATCTTTAGTTTCTGGTCTCTAAGAATAAAGTTGTTTCATATGAGCATGGAAATTTTCCTTCATATTGTTGAGGTGCTTAGAGTGAAATAGGCGTGCTATATAAAATGGTATATCATCTATGTTGGCTGCATATTTGTTATTTGTCAAAGGCTAGGCACCAGTGTGCAGAAACTTATTGATGCTGGTACTACAACAAATTCTTGCAGGATTTATCTCTATCTATAACCTTCATAATTCAGTGGAGATACTTGATTATCTGTAATTGATATTTCTTAAAACCCCAGCTACCTTTTCTGCTGTTATCTTGTCAACTATATCAAATTCAATTGTTTTATAAAAATTTCAATATATTTAGTAGCTGCCTTGTCTAAGAAAATAATGGTGTTTGTGACATTTTAAGCAGTCACATATCCACGTCTTATCTCGGCGATTTTTGTTCCTTCAGTGGCTTGGATATATTTGAAATTGAAATGTGAAATCCTATCGTCGTAATACACACAACAAAATCTTTCATAGTTGAGGAGGCAGATCTAACACAGCTTAAGTAGTGTCCAAACCCGACTTAACATCATAGGATCTCATTCTACTGCATTGTCCGTGTTAATAGTGGTTCACTATGTTTCCAGAACATGTTGAATATTGCTTTCTCTTTTGCTTTGTTTTGTGTTAAAGCTCATAAATTTTTTTTTTCTGTTTCCAACTATTGAACCAGGATGGTGTCAAATTGGCAGAGAGTGTACACAGTGCCAAGTAAGTTGCTGCACCTATATGACATCAATGTAATGAACCTCATACAATGCTTACTTCTCCCGGCAACATGCTATATTGCTTCTTCCATTAGCTTTGGTTGCTTACTTGATTTATTCTTTTTGTCTTCCGCTGAATGATAATGCTTGTGCCTATTTTAGGGAGTTCTCAATTACCAGTATGACTGGAAGCTATAGAAGGGTTTTCCAGCGTCCTATTGACTTTGTGTGGTATGTACATTTTACGTCATTTAATCCTGTGTTTCAGCCTGCTTTTATTCTTGCAAAGGTACTTCCTGCAAAGCAAGCTAGTCACTAGTGAAACATCTATTTGTCTGATTACAGGGAATTACTAACTTACACAGATGGAGATGTGCCCCTGGCAGAAACTGATATGGATGTCATATCCAAATCAAAGCCTTATGAGGATGGGAAGATACAGGGATGTGCTAATGGAAATCATGACAGCAAAGTTGAAGTCTGCCAACCTGAGAGCTTGAGCTTAATTGCTGATTGTCTTTCTGCAAATGCTAGTGGAGTGAATTTGTCGTGTGAGGACCCTGGTGACAAATCTGGCGCTCACCTTCCCAAGGTAGCTTTGAAGTTAGGGTTCACTCTCCCAAGTTCATGCTATGCCACAATGGCCATTAGGGAGTTGCTGAAAACTTCAACTTCGGTATGTGCATTTTGGTCGAGAAGTTGCATAAATTATAATGTAGAAGTGCATGTAGGAGGTTAGATTGAAGCAATTTCAATTGTCCTAGTGTTCTCTTCGCTCTGAAGCATAATGATCTCAGTAAGTTCTGTCTGAAAACATCATCTAGTATTCATTAAGCTCTTAAGGTTTCCAAATCAAGATATTGCTTGAAGGCTATTTACCAGTAGCAGAATGCAATTGAAACTATACAGCAATCTAATGTGATTTGTTGGTATTGAGCAGGAGTACTCTTTTCCATGAAATTCACACTAGTGTTGTTAAGGTTTGGTTGCATTTAGTTAATAATAATAGTCCTTTTTTTTCAAAATGCTCTCCACATTTTTATAGACTAAATTATTAAATTGGTATATTTTGTTGACCCTCATTACCAACTTGGTCTATTTTCTTTCTCCGGCGACTACAAGATATGTAGAGCGGGACACGATGACAATAAGGCCTATTTTTTGACCGGTAATTTTCCGGCGAGATTACCTCATGTAACAAGTCGCGTGCATTTTACGCGACTAAATTGGGCTTATGTGGCAAAGGTTTAAGAGCGATCTTTAACTAACCGTTATGGAGGGAAAAGTTCCTCAAATTTCCCCCATTCTCTCTTTCTTCTATTCTTTGTTCATGTGAGGAAGTGAATGATTTTTTTCCAAGTTGTAGAGACTTTAACTCATTTCAATTGCCCTAACCCAATTTAACTCTAGGAGGAAGAATACCCAATTTGACCCCATCCTTTTAAGCCATAATTTGAAAGAAAAAAAAACCTTTTTAGATCAAATGAATGAGACCAATTACTTGCCACGTAAGAAGCCACATTAGCACCATGTGATGAGTCACGTGCACCATGTGATGAGTCACGTGCACCATGTGATGAGTCACGTGACGTTTAGTCATTGGAAAGTTTGCTCTGGCCAAAAAACAGGTCTTATTGTCACCGTCTCATTTTATATACCTTGTTGTCACCCAAGTAAGAAAAAATATCAAACTGGTGCTTATGGTCAACGAAAATATACCATCTGGCAGATTAGCCTATTTTGATGTTATTTATTTTAAAACAACTGCTTATCTTGAAGAACTTAACAATATTTTTTAGCAAAAGTTGTAACTGATGAGTATATTTTCTTTTGGCAAATTCATCATGAATATTATAAAAGTAAGCCAACTCATTACTTCACTATAACCACTAGTAAGCATTTCCTTAGGGGAAGTGAGGAATTAGGCTATTATCTCAATATATCTTTTTCCTTATCATGAAGATCAAGATGTTTATTACTAAAACGAGTTATTTGAAGCATTTCTTTTTTTATGTTGACAATATCTAGTAATTGTTCATCATTGAGGGTTATTCTTATTTCTCAGTATCCTATATGATGATTCCTTTATTTCTCTGTATTTCTTTTATTCTTCACTAAGCATATTCTAATGTGAAGAATTTTTTTCTGAGAGATTAGGTATATACATTCTCCCATAATTTAGTAACCATAAAAAGCTTTGTAGATTTTTTAGAGTTTCATAGTTATCTTTGAACTCTTTAATCTTGGTAGTGATATGGTCTTGTAATTCAACATGACCATATTTAATTCTCTTTTTTTTTAAAATTCGATATCTTCTTTCATTAAGATAACCTTTTTAGGAGATAAAATGACTCCATGATTAAGTAATGGCTGTGCTGCTGCTATCAGGTTGTTCGTCTTTTTGTTTTTAAGAACACTAGATGTCGTCTATATAGACAAACAAATATATAAAGTATAATAGCAAGAAATAAACTACATAATGTAGACCAAGATTGGAGAAAGAAAGAAAATTTACTCCATAATTAATTAGAAATACTTACAGAGATTATATTACAATACAAGACTTCAGGCCAGACGAAGCTTTGATACCACTTCTAAAGCAACAATATTTTATAAGAGGAATATGAAAACACATATTCTTTTCTTTTACAGACTCAAATTCCTTTCCTAAAAACTTGCGGACTCTTTACAAACTTGGATTTCTTTATATAAATAGCAGAGGACACTTATGAAGGAATCTTGGCTTTTAGAAGTAGTAGTTACATGTCTTTTCTTTTTGGAAAGTAAGGGTGTCATGTCTTTTACTTTTCAGAAGCAAGGATATCGCAGTGGATAAGTGGTAGCATCTACTTTTTACATGGCACATTTTTCAGAAGCATTTGTTGGAGAATGATCGTTGTTTTTATAGATTTATCTTCTTTTCTCGGTGCTCAGCATTTTATTTCAAGAGTTGAGATTAGTAGGACCCACCATACTTTTAATCTGTTTCTGGAGCAGTTTTTTGTTCAAATGTCGCACAGTGGTAGTACTGCAACCCGTACTCATTGTCTCATAATGTTCTTTTGCCTTTTGAGCTTTGGTCCTAAAATCATACTTTCTTTGAATTCCTCTTGCAGATCTTGTTCCTTGAATGTGAATTTTGGGATGCATGGGATAATATGATCTTGGATAATCATGTTCCCATGGTTATAATGAAAGGCTTTAAAGAATTCAATTGCCGCTATTTCTTTTTCTTCTTCAAAATCACATTTTTTTCATTAAAAGGAATGTCTGAAGAGGGCTTCTCTTGTTAAGGGTTCTAATATTGAGATTTGATAAGATGGATAAAATTTTAAAAAAATTCATTCTTCGCATATGGACTATATGGTGAACTCGAATACTCTTTGAAACTTTTCAGTTTTTTCAAGTGCCTGGCTATAAATAGTAGGAACGAAGGGTTTTGTATTCTTCGGGTCTAGTTTTATCAACATGCATCTTATGAATTAGCCATTTTTTATTATGTTCCTTCTAGGCGGATATGAGCTCAAAACATGCTAGTATCCGTGGTCTGTCATACTAGTTTAGTATGATTTGAGAAGCTGATTTTAAATAATGAAATTATCCCATCATCATTAAGTTTCTCAAAAAATAAGAGCATTTCCTGATCATCCATCAGGTTCCTTTAATTACTGTTGAACATTTCTTTCAACTTCCGTTGAGTCTGATACTTTGATGTATCAAACTTGAAATAGTAGATTAATTCGACAAAATCATCAATTTTAGTCATTGCTAGATACTTGATTTCAATTTCCATAAGGATTGTACATAAATCCTTTTGAGTTTGATTCTAAGAAATTTTTTATTTTCTCTTTTTGTGTCTTCATTGCCTTTGACATTGTTAAGGATGATTGATTGACGAGGTTTTCAACAATATCTTTGTATTTTTTGGTAACTTTTTTCAAGGTCTTGGAGTTTTCGATTCTTTAATGATTTTTAATGCTGAAAGGCAGATATTAGTATTAGTGTCAGAAGCGGAAACTCTTAATTCCTGGAGTTTCTTCCATAAGTTATTTATAGATGTGTAGTCTTCATTTGGTAAACTGGTGTTATACCAGTTTTTGGCTACAATAACTTTAAATAGTGGATATTTTTTCAATGTTCTTGGAAAATTGGTTAGCATAAAACATGGAAGTTGCAAGACTGTAACTATCAAGTATAGTATTTAAGATATCGGACCCACAAGAAATATGTGTTTGGAAATTCTAAATTTGGTCCTAAAAAAAGTATGGACAAAAAGATATAAAATAGAATATGTAGAGATTTAGAGAGGGAATTGTCACAAAAATAAAAAGTTAAAACAAGGGGGGAGAAAGAGAAAAGGAGGAAACGAGTGAAAAGAAAACAAGGAATGTGTGTTTGGAAATACTAAATTTGGTCCTAAAAAAAGTACGGACAAAAAGATATAAAATAGAATGTGTAGAGATTTAGAGAGGGAATTGTCACAAAAATAAAAAGTTAAAACAAGGGCGGAGAAAGAGAAAAGGACGAAACGACTGAAAAGAAAACAAGGACTAAAAGAAAATAAGAAGAATTGGAAACAAGAAAAGAAAAGCAAGTGGGAAGAAAAGATAAATCAATAAAATAAAATCAAGAAAGAGAAAAAAATCAAATCAAGAAAGATTTAGGAAAAACAAATGGAGAAGTTAGGAATCTAGAATTAAAGTCACTAGTTAATTACAATTAGGATTTATGATCTACTCTCGTTTCATCATTTTATTACTTTAGATTTACTAGATTTACTAAGCATGATCAAAGCACTTAAAGAAAATATAACCTATCAAATTATTATCCAAGCAAAAATTCTCATTCATAAAACAAGTAACTAGATAATAATTCTAGAAATGAATAAGCAAAACCTATTTAATCACTCAAGATAACCAAAGATTATTAAACTCGTTTTCTATCAATTAGTTCTTCGAGAATTTTATGTGATCGTAGAATACCTATGAAACTAAGGGCCTGTTTGTTTGGCTAAAAAAAGAAGGAAATCAAAGAATAGGAAACATATTTCTTAAAAAAAATTGTTTTATGGTTGTTTGGTTAGCTAAAAAAAGAAGGAAATCATATAATAGGAGATGAGATGAGATGAGTTGTCACCATATTATTGGATGTGGGTGATTTTTTAAGAAAACTTGTTTTGAGATTGTTTAGTTGGTTAAAAAAATAAGAAAATGAATTATAAGAAACTTAGTTCCTATAATAGGTTCTTCTATTGTGTTTGGTTCATTTTTAAAAATATGAGATGAGATGAGTTATCATTATATTATAGGATGATGTGACTCACACTTAAGAAAAACAATTTCCTTGGTTTTTTTGAGGAAATGAAAGGAAATAAAATGTTAATGAGATGAGATGAGTTGTCACCATAATGTTGGATGATGTGAGTGATTTTTAAAGATGAGATGAGATGAGTTGTATGATGTGACCCAATTTTGTGTTTGGTTTTTTTAGGAGATGATATGAGATGAGTTGATGGATGAAAATAATATTTTATTGGATAAAGTGGATGAGTTGTTAGATAAAAATAATATTTTATTGGATGTTGTGGTGAGTTTTAGGGATGGAAATGGAGGAAATTAATGTTTTTAAGATTTCCATGACCCAATTTCTTATTTTTGGTTTTTAGGAAACCAACCAAACAGTCCCTAAAGGAAATATTCTATAGGACGGTTATAAAATCAACTATGCTTTATGGATCAGAATGTTAGGCAATTAAAAAACATGTTTAAAAAATGAGTGTAGTAAAAATGAGAATGTTGTGATAGTCTTATGGGTATACATTAAAACATAGAATAAGAAATGAGTGGATCCGTAATAAATTAGAGGTTGCGCCTATTGAGGATAAAATGAGAATAGATTAAGATGATTTGATTATGTACAGCGGAGACCGTTAGTGTACTCATTAGGAAAAATGATAATATTAGAGTTAATGGAGCTAGGAGATCTAGAGAACGACGTAGAATGATTAGGTTATAAGTAATTAAGAATGGTATGATTAGGACTAACTTAACGAAGGATATGAGCCGTAACAGAATGGAATAAAAACATAGGATTCGTGTAGTCGACCCCAAACATTTAGGATAAATGCTTGGTTGTTATTTCTATCAATTAGTTCTCTAGTTAATTATCCTAAACATAATCATTTTAAGCATAAAGAGCAATTTATAAACCATAAAAGAAATTAAACTAGTTTCATACAATTCTAGATTTCATACATGAATTAGTTACTCATATTGCAAAAATAAAAACATGAAAATAAAATTTATACTAGTAAGCATAAAAGAAAGAAATAGAAAATCAAAACAATACAGAGTAAGAAAATAAATCTACTCTATAAAGCATGAAGAAAAAAATACACTACAAGCATGAAATAAATCTAATCTATCAAACATGAAATAAAAATAAGAAAATAAAATCCTAAAACTTACAACTCTAAAACAAGAAAATAAAAGAGAAAAATAAAAACTTACATTACAAGAGGTTGGTTTGATCTTAGGCTTCAATAAAAGGTTGAAAATTAAAGGAATTTGATTCTTTTGGACTCTTATTCATTAATTCTCTATTACCTAAAAATTAAGATAAAAACTCATTATTAGTTGATATATTTAATAAAATAGATAATGATGATTTAAAAATGTAATAAAATGTGATGATTAGGAATATTTGGCTTCTTGTTTTGAGAAGTTTTTTCTTCTATTTCTCATTTGTTTTACCTCTTTCGGTATCAAACTCGCCTTTAATTACCTCCTTTTTGGTGAGGTTCTCTAGCATGTTTAATACACCTAATATAATAAGGACATTCATAAATATTATTAGGCGGGGTAATTATTTTAATGTACTCAGCTAGTTGATAAAGTATATTTTCTTTTGGCGAATACATTGCCAATATTTATTGTGGCAAAACTTCAATATAGGTTCCTAATGTCTTAGCTAAATTTCATTTAAGTTCTTAATGTTTGAAAGTCAACAAAGATTCATAACGTTTTCTCCGTCATCAAGTTAAGGTTTTTTTTAGATTTTTCATTATTTATTGCTGATGTGGTAGTTGGCTGGACTATCTTTTTTCTCTCCTTTTTGTCGTGTAACCCCCTATAACTTTTAAAAGTTAGAAATAACACCCTTAAACTTTTAAACATTACAAATAGACCCCCCTAAAATTTCAAAAGCTACAAGTGGTACTAAATTTTTTTCAACCGAACCCTAAAATTTTTGAAAAATACACCACTATTTATAAAAAAATTTAGGGTCTAGTTAATAAAACATTTAGCGGTCCATTTATACTTTAAAACTACAAGGAGCTGTTTGTATATTTTCTAGACAAGGGTTGTAACTCCCTAGAATTTTATAAAAAGCCTCCTACAAAATATGCAAACAACCTCAAAAGGTTTGAAAACTATAAATGAGCCCCTAAATTTTTACAAACAGACATTCAAAATCTTTATAGCCCTGTGAAAGTTTTTTAAATTATAAATAACTTTCAGCATGCTATTTGTAATTTTCAAAACTTTTAGGGGGTTGGTTGTAAAAGTTGTAGCAAACCACTTGTAGCTTTTGAAAATTTTAGGGGGATATTTTGTAATGTTCTAAACTTTTTAGGGTGTTATTTATAAATTTTTAAAACTTTTAGGGTGTTATTTATAAATTTTAAAACTTATAGAGGGTTATGTGGCAAAAAGGAGAGAGAAAAGACAATCCAGTCACCTATCACGTCAGCAATAGAGAACAGAAACTCTCGAAAAGGACCTAATTTGATGGCAGATAAAACATTAGGGATCTTTGTTGATGACTTTCAAATATTAGGGACTCAAATGAAATTTGGCTAATACATTAAGAACCTACAGTGAGGTTTTGCCTATATTATAAAAGTCACCTCATTGCTTCATTATAACCAGTGTTTTAAATATTGGCTGATAAACCGATGTTATCGGTAATTTATCGGTTTTGAGGGCCTTCCGCTATGATAAATTAAATTTTAAATAGGTTATTGTTTTTGGATGTTTATCGGCAATAATGCGACGATAAAGTGAGTTGTCGGCCGAATTTTTGGCTCAAAATATCAGAATTATTAGCCTTTGATTTTGGTTTGGGTTTGCTCTTTGGATGTTTAAGAATTATTAACTATTTGTTGCTTTTGGAACTTGGTTGATTGGTGATTAGCTTATGTTTGTTTATGAATATTGACATGGCTCAAAACTATTAAATCTCATCTAAGTTAATTTATAATCTCGTGATTACACAATAATTATTATATTGATGATTCTTCATTCTTTATATTATCTTGTTGTTTGCTTGTATGTTATTCCATTTTTACTAACTATGCACTCGTATGGTTTTATCGTGCGATCAAGAAGTAAGTTTTTACCATTAGTTAGTTATCCTAAACATGATTATGTATATTTTGACATGTTTATATTTCATTAAGTATGGTTAGATTGTATTTTAGGATATTATAATATGTGTATACACTATCCGATAATATCACTCTGATAAATATTATTATCCCGATATCCGCTATCTGATATGGATTTTGACCGTCCGATTAGTCCTTGATAACTGATATTTAAAACCTTGATTTTAACTACTAGTAAGGATTTCTTAGAGGAAGTGAGGAATTGGGCTATTATCTCAATATCTCTTTTCTTATCAGGAAGATCGAGATGTTTATTAATAACATGAGCTATTTGAGGCATTGGGGATATTTCATCCTTACCTGTTTCCTTTATTAGGCTTTTTTCCCCTGATGACGAACTAGCCATGTTTGGAAAGATAATCAACACCTATATTTGTGAATCTAGGAATATATTGAACAATATAATGAGTACGGGTTGTAGTTTTTCCGTTGTGCGATCATTTGATCAAGAAACTGCTCCGGGAAGAGATTAGAAGTATGGTGGATTTTACTAATCTTGTCTCTTGAAACAAAATGCAGTGCATCTAGAAAAGGAGATACAACTGTAAAAGCCACGATCACTATCCAGAGATGATTCTGGCAAAGGTGCCACTTAAAAAGTAAATGTCATCATTTTCCCAAAAGGTTCACGATATCCTTGTTTTTTGAAAAGTAAAGGACACGACAACTTTACTTTCTAAAAGAAAAGACACGCAACTACTACTTTTAAAAACCAAGATTTCTACGGAAGGGTCCTCTGCTATCTATATAAAGACGTCCCAGTCTGTAATGAATCTGCAAGTTTCTAGAAAAAGAATTTGAGAGTCTATAAAAGAAACGAATGTGTGTTTTCATTTTCCTCTTAGAAAATCCGGTACATGCTAACCCAATTTCCAGTTGTATCACTGAACCAGACCTCAGTAGCACATTCAGTAATGATTTTCTTTCTCTGTTGCTGGTAAACCAACTAGAATAATCACCAAAAGATCGAATCAGATTTCCTTTGTATTGAAGATGATTTTCTATACTTAATAGAAATGGAAGGTACCATCTGCATGTTCAATGAAATTTTAACTGCAGGTGTATCAATGCTCAATGCCTCATCATGACTCAAGTGTCATGAAGTCTAAATCTGAGTTTTTGTCACAGCTAATGTATTTGAAAACTTAAATTATTGAGATCTTTGTTTATTTCTGCAGGTTGCTTATCATAAAACAATAAACCAGTGAGCAGAATGTAACTCCTTGTTTTTGATTAGTTTTCAAATTCTGAGGAACTTCCTGACCACTTGAGGCGTATAAACAGGTAAATTCCTGCATCCTTTATTTTATATGTTTATCTTTTGTACAGGCTTATTTTGAATTCCTTTGTTAGTTTTAGTTAGGCTAATGTCACTTAAATACCCTAATATTTCACCTCCTTTACAAACCCCAAGTTGTAAAAAGTGTCACATAAATACCCTAAATTGTCCACCATTAGAATATGTTAACTGCCATCAGAAAAACCCGTTATGACAAAAATACCCCTCCATAGAAATTTAATAAAAAGATGGAGGATAGGTGTACTAGTAAATATGATAATAAATAGGGTCAATACAATTACAAAAATGTCATGTGCAATATTCCCACATGCAACTAACAAAAGATACTAATGTGCTAGTTTTTTATAACTTAAGGTATTAAAGTGCTACTTTTTTCCAACTTAGGGTATTTTCGTGCTACTTTTTACAACTTAGGGTATTTAAGTGTAAAGGTGATGAAACAATAGGGTATTTAAGTGCCATTTAGCCTTTTGGTTATGATTTCAGTATGCAGCATGATAAAACTTTTCCTTGCAGTGAAAGTTGCTTCATCAAGAAATCATCAGTTAGCATATGGTGAACTCAACATTTTCAGATGATGCATGCATGGGGGTCTGAATATTGTGGTGAATGTTTATTGTTGTATTGAGCGGAAACTTGATAAAGTGCACTTTGAGGTTCTATTAGCTGTCACTGGCAGCTGAAGATGAAATATTGGCGGATGACTGCATCTGACCGGGCATGCAGAGTGAAAATTCCATACATTTCACACATGCTCACTGGGGGTTGCATAATAATATAATTCGAGGCTTGCTAATCCTATCAGAACATATGATTGGTTGGTGTTCAAGGCGGCCGAGTTAGTCAAGTTTGTAGAGTGAGCTATATAACATGCAAGTTAACCTGGTTCCATATGAAGCATCAAATTCATGATACTGGGAACTTACTGGAGGTCTAAAAATTGCAAATCCGGTTCTAGACTACTCTTTACTCTTATCTAGGTTATAGGTGTTATTGGTTTTGATATGTGATTATGTTCTTTATTTCTCTAATGAGCCTTGCACAAAAAGCTGCCTAATAACTTTGTCCACTGTTAGCAGGTATTCAAAATCTATAACCTTAAATAAGGCTCTCTGTCCTGAGAGAGCGAGGTTTTCATTTTGTAGCGTTGAAGTTATAAAATTAGTTGAGATGTTAGGAGCTCTCTCGATCTAGAAAATCTGTAGTTTGAGATGTTTTATTTTATATTGTTAAAGTAACCATTATAGTTGAGAACTCGGAATTCTAGTTTGCGATGTTTTATTTTATATCGTTAAAAGTTATAATTTTAGTTGAGATGTTAGGAGGATTTGAGTGGAGATGGTTGCAGGATCTAATTTTAATTTTATTCTATTTTGCTTTATTATTTTTTAAATGAAGGATAAATTCTTTTGTTTTGCATGTGGAAGAAATATTTGAATCGGGGATTGAAAAAGTGGGAGTTTGGGGAAGAGAGGGCGTCATAAAAGTTTTTGTTTAATTTCCAAGAATAAATCTTTAATTTTGAATCGTAAAACTTACTTTTATTTGGTGTTTTAATTTTAATACTAAACTAAAATATATTTCACTTTTTCTTTAGGGTTTGAATGCTAAACTAAGTAGCACCTACTTTTGTCTAATTAAGTAGAACCTTCCTGGGTCATGCTTCTGGGATTTTTTTTTTTAAATTTGGTTTTTGCATGTTAACCGCTTACAATATTCCATATTTTGAGATTACACTCCAACTCATCTTAACAGATGTTTTATAGTAACAGTGTAATAATTTAATTAAGCAATAAATCATTAACTAAGTAATAATTTAAGAAACTTCCACTCAGATTGCGAGGAACCCGCTGTACCCATAGATTAGTTATGCTTTTTTGGGAAAGGTTAGACGTCCCTCTGTCGCATAGTCTAATAATATAAAAGGAACGATGGCCTGTTCGCATTTATAAATAGAACTACATAAAATAACTGCATCTCGAATTTCCAATGTGACGTGATACATAAATAACATTCAGCGCCTACTGATAGAATGAAAACAGAGAAGTGAATAGGTGTATAATCTATCATCCAAGAACTCAAATGCGAAACCATGCTATGAATTGTTACCTCATTTCCTTCCACATCGACTAAAATTAAACAACCCAAATGGAGCATTACCAATGCCTTGGCTTCCTAATTATCAATTGATAACCATCAACCACTCTGGTATTGCCGTATGACAAGCATCCAACTTAGTTTGATACAAAAATTTGCAGAAAAAGAAAATGGCTCATAATCACAACGATAGCAGTAATCTCGAAGAAACTCTGCCGTTCAAATGATGACGCCGTCCTAAAACTTATATGTCAATTTAGCCTCTAGGCTTCATATCAACTGGATCTTCAGCATGTCAGGACCGAGATATGTCAGGACCGAGATCGGATATGATCTATACAAAATTAGCAATTCGGTGCGCTGCAAACACCATGTTATTCACCAGTATCTGATCTTCGATCCAACTTACTCCCCGTTCATCGTCATCCCGTACTCAATAACAGACTGCAATTTAATATCAATGAACAAGTCATTTATTTTTATCTTTCACTGCAGAACATATGTTTCATGTAATTGGCAACTAACAGTTCTAAAATGGCGTTAGCGTACAAAGGCTAAATTTTGTATCCAACAGACAGATGATAACGCATGCAAACGCAAATTTACATGATGAATGCGACAACCAAGGAGTAGGTTAAAAAAAAAGAAAAAAGAAGAAAGAAGAAAGAAACTCACTGTTGCAGCTCAGCTTGATATGATTAGGCCCCGTCATTGATCGACTTAATACATCTTATTCGGAGAACTTCAGCACCATTTGAGTTGTTAAGTATAAATAAGCCTATTTACCTCCTCTCTTTTCTAACTACGCATTGTACATAACCAAGAGCTTCAATCTTTAGCTCCAAAATTAAAGAAATTATTACACACTAAGTAGGGTAGACAAGTCACTCACTCATCCTTCGTTCTTGGTCTCATACAAGCACAACAGTGAACTTTCTTCCTCCTTGGGCTCTCTCTCCTCCCGTAAAGATAATCCCTCAAAAGAACTCTAGTTCTTCTCTCTGCAGCTCTAGCTTTTCTATAATCATGCTCTTCCTTCAGTTTCAACCAGATATACTCAAGTTTCTGCAGCTCCAGCTCCAACCTTCCGATCTTTTCTGACCCTCTTCGTGCTCGTTCTGAAATTTTCCGTTCACTGATGTTCCCCATATCATCAATTTGATCACTAAGCAAACTGTTTGAAGATGATGATAGCTTCTCAGTCTTCTTCGCTAACTTCTTGTTGGCATCAGTTAACTGCGAGATAGCTGCCTCAGCCTCTTTCAACTGTGCTTTAACCTTCTTGAATTCGAAACTTGTCGGGCTTTTACTTAGTTCAGATGTCTCCATGGTCTTTTTTAGTTCTTTGGCGTTCTCTTGAAGAGCCGAGAGCCTCTGAGCATCAGAAGAAAGCCTTTCACTGATACTCCCATTCCATTCAGACTCTGTAACGATACCCAACTCTTTCTCAGGTGCTGCTCTTGAAGAAGGCAATTCAATCTTTTCCTCCTCCACTGCTTCAATATTGTGACAATCTAGATCTTGATCTTTGCGGTCTATAATTCCCCATAATTCCATCATGTGATCCTTGGCTTCATCACTATCAATTGCACCTTGTGCATTGGAACTAGCACCAGTCTCAAATTGTGAAGAGCTTAGAACATGGTCAAGTTGAATATCTTTCATCTCCTCGGGGGGTCCCTGTTCGAAAATTTCAGCATCGGCTTTCTTGAGATTACAAGTTTCCTCTTTCTTTTTCAGATGCAAGATGATGTCGGTTCCTTCTGATTTGAATTCTTCACTTTTATTTATTTCAGCTTGTTGAGTAGTTCTAGAAACATTTGTCTCGTGTTCTAGATGACTTATGATGTCTATTACCATGTCTTCTAGTGCATTAACCTTAGCATTCAACTTTTGGAGTTCGATGATTCCGAATGATGAAACGGTGTGATGACTCCCGTTTCCTTCTTCATTTCTCTTTTTCTGTTGAAGAGGCTGTGAAACATCCTGAAGTATAGACGTGTGAAATGTGTAAAAATTCACAATTCAAATGATACTTCAGTGGTTACTATCAAGATTAAACTTTGAATCTAGGTCGGTAGGAAATATGTGAAACTGATTGAACAAAAATTCACCACTGTGTTTGCACATATAGGTAGATTGAAATATCACAAGAGATTCAAATCATCCCTGAAGTCGTAAATTACTTTTTTTTCTTTCTGATTATGGTTTGAGTAACATATTTAAAAATTTTGTGATTTACCTTTGTTTCCAATATTAGATTTGTTTCAAACCATATTTCAGAAGCACCCAACATGATTTGTCTGAGTTTAAATTCTATAATTTATAAAATCCGATAAAGTCATCCAATTATAACATTGGAATAGAAAAGCATTCGATGAGACCAAGGTGCTGTCTGAGGACTTATTAAATTTATCTGTCGCGATCGAGTTTCCGAAATATGTTTAGAAAATATGAAATTAAACATATTTCAGAAGCACCCAACATGATTGGTCTGAGTTTGAAATTCCATAATTTATAAAATCAAATAAAGAGATTCAATTATAACATTAGAAGAAAAAAGCATTCAATGAGACCAAGGTTCTGCCTGAGAACTTATTATCTGTCGTGATCAAGTGTTCCTAATTTTCTTGCCAAGTTTCTAAATGTGTTCAGAAAGTTTCAAGTGAGATCCAATTTGAATAACATAAAAAACAGAAATAAGTAAAGAAAGAATCACCAGATTTTCTTGGTTTCTCGATGAACGATGACTTGCAAGTGGAAGGATACGCCATTCAAGAGAGGTGACGAAATTCCCCAGTGATAATATAAGCGGCAAGTATGCACTCAATTCTTCTTTCAGACCTCTATTTTCTTCATCCAATGCATCAAATTTCTCTTTCAACTCACCCTCATAGGCGTCTCTACTAGCGAATTCCCCGTAGAACATCTCCTTTTGCATCATGGCACTCATCTCAAGGCTCTCACAGTTTACTAGCAGCTCAAGCATCTTTTCTTCAAAGATTGCTTCATGGACTTTAGTGATGTGAGCATCCTTCACTAGAGTTTCAATTTCTTGAATAGCATCCTCCAACTCAGAAGAAAAACAAATTTCCCTCCTTTTAAGTTTTTCTGCTTCTTCAAATAATTTCACAAGTTGCTGATTCAATTTGTCATTAGCTTGATGGAGATCAGCAATCTCACTACCCCTCTGAGAATTATGTTCCAGTAAGCTGAGATTTTTCTTCTCTACCTCTTCTCGTGCCACTTTTGCCTCATCAACATCTATCATAAGCCTCTCAATCTTTCCACTTAGTTCGGAGTTTTCTCCTTGTAGAGCTTGGAACTTATTATTTACTTCCAACACCTCCATGTCCTTTTGTGCTAAGAGGTTCTTGCCAGTTTCAACTAGAAGGTTCAGCCCTTGGCAGGTATCTCTGGATGTTTTGACTTCACCTTCAAGAATCGCCAGCCGGCTTCTGTATTCCTCCAGAACAGCAAGTGACTCCTTCAGGTTTACACGTTCAACCTCTGCAGCTCCCAATTTTTCATTCAGTGATCTGATTTCCTCCTCAAGATCAGTGCTAATTTGGCGAAGATGATCCATGTTATTACTAAGAATATTTAGCTCTAATGCTCTCTCAGCATTATAACTGCTAAAAACCAAGCAAAGGTGTTCAAGTTTCATAGACTCTTCAACAAGTACACTGTTGTGCTCTTGCAATGTGTCATTTCCCTCCGATAAATCACTAATTTTCTTCGAAAAGGACTGGTTTTCTTCAATCAGCCTTGTGATATCAACTTTTAAAGTGGAGTGAGCCTCGTGCAAATCTGATAACTTTTTACTCAAAATTTTTATTTCAGCCTTCAGTACTTCCTCCTTTTGGTTGCATGCTTGCAGATTCTGTCTCAATTGTTCATTAAGCTTCAGCAATTGATGCTTTTCACTTTGCAAGAGTAATAATTCTTCAAGTATCGTCTTTGACTCCAGATCAAGCCCATTCTTTTCTGCGCGCAGTTCTGCCAGGTCAAGTTTACAATGCTCAAGGAGAGTGAGTATAACTGATTTCTCAAGAACCAGACGCTGATTGTAATCCTGTTCATCTAAATTTGAAGCCTTCAGGTTTTCAATTTCAAGCAAAATTAGCTTAAAATGTAGATCGTCTGGAGACCGACACTCTTTGTTGATGCTAAGTGTCTTCATTACCTGATGAATTCCCTCCATCAGCTTCTCATTATATTGTGATAACAATGTTAGCCATTTCTGTTGTATTAAACTTTCCTGCTTGAGCTCAGAAATAAGTCCCTGTTGGTATCTGGATGTCTCCGAGTACTCCAGACATTTATCTGAGAGAATCATATTGTTTTCTTTCATATCATGCAAAATTCTCTGCAAGATAAAAATTTCAATCTGGGCATGAACGATCTTCTGATGTTCCACTTCAAGCTCCTCCTCTCTAAGCCGGCCTTGTTCTTGGAGGATGAGAATCTTGTTTTCTAAAGAATCGAGTTCACTCCGAGTGTAAAGAGCGAGAGCTTCATATGTTTCATTCTTCATTCTCATAGAACTTTGCAGCTCCCTGATTTGGTTAAGTAGTTGATCTTTTTCACTCTCCAGATTTAAGTTTTTGCTTTCTAGTTCTGCATGTTCCATTTCCAAGTTTTCCAGTCTCTGACGAATGCTTTCCACCTGACATCAAATAAACACACAGATAACATGAATATTAAAAGAGAGAAAAAAATTGTGAGTCATAAAAGAGTTCCAATAGACAATACTCGAAAGATTAAGTAAAGAACATATAATAAAGTTAACACGAGGATGCTAAATGAAAACGATTGCATTAAATCCCAAGATGCGGGAAAGGTCATTAAAATATTTTACCTGTGTTTCAAGGGCACTCTTTGCAGCAAGAAGACTGGAATTTTGATCACGGAGAGATTGGCAGGATTCTTCTAATACATTCAATTTTCCTCTCAAGCCTTCAAGTTCAGCATTCACATCAGAAAGGGAGTTCTCCAATAATGTATTTTTCTCTGATAGCTTCTCCATGTTCTGAGCAATAGCCTCAATCTGGGACACTAGAACAGCCTTTTCTGATATTTGAAGGGAAATCTTTCTATGGAGGCTTTCACAGGATTCTTCTAATGACTTTACCTTTTGCCTTAACTCTTTCAATTCTGCATTTGCACTTGATAAAGAAACTTCTAAACCAGCATTTCGTTCTGTTATCTTTTCCATAAATCTCAAGCTATCAAGATGTAGAATTCTTTCATCATGATGCTTCTTGCAGAGCTCTTTCAACTCGACATTCCCATCTCGTAACTCCTTCACAATTTCTTGAAGGGTCTCCACATTTAAATTTACCGCACCAATTTGTTCTGTTAGCTCATTGTGTCTCCTCTCCAACTCCTTTTTGTCTGCTTTCATCGAAAATATCTCTTGTTGAAGAGATTTCTTTTCAACAACATGAATCCCCAACTCATCTTCAAGCTTACTTTTTGATTCCTCCAATAAACTAATTTCGTCTTGAAGACTTTTGATCTTTAAAGCAGAAGATCTGTTTTGCTCGAGTTCCTCTTTAAGCCGCTGTATTTCTTCTTCCAAACCAACTTTACTCATTTCCACATTTCTCAATTTTTCAACCCAGCTCTGAATCTCCAAAGGATGCAACTTTTCCAAGGATGACCGAGCCATTTCAGCCTCCATGGATCTTTTTTGTTCTTCTATTATAGAAACGTTAAGTTTCTCGATATCTTCTTGCTTCATGCGCAGTTCCTCTTTAAGCCGCTGTACTTCTTCTTCAATACCAACTTTACTCATTTCCACATTCCTCAACTTTTCAACCCAGCTCTGAATCTCCAAAGAATGTAACTTTTCCAAAGATGAGCGAGACATTTCAGCCTCCATGGATCTTTTGCGTTCTTCTGTTATAGAGATGTTAAGTTTCTCGATATCTTCTTGCTTCATGTGCAATTCCTCATGTTGCTTTTTTGCCATCTCTTTAAGCATACCCAGTTCAAATTTCAAAGCCTGATTCTCTGTCCCTAGCTGATGACATCGATCACCAAAGCTTTTTGATTTAGTTGTTACTACCAGCATCTCATCATTTAGCTTCTTGAAGTCATCCTCAAGGCGAGTTATCTTTTCCAGGGAAATATTGTACTGAAGATAAACAGCTTCTTTCTCGGATTCTAGTTTTGAAATGGTACCTCTGAGATTTCCAATTTCAACTTCAGCTTTATTTGCACGCTCAGACTCCAGTGCAATTTGGCTCTTGAGATTCTGATTCTCCTCGGATAATCCAGGATCTTTCTCTTGTACACTTTGGAAATCCAATCCTCTCCTTGCCCATCCATTACCGAACTTCTCATGGGTTTCCTCTTCTCCATTCATAGACTGACTTGATTCATGAGCAGGAGTGTGAAGCTCAGAATCAGTGAAAGACGAGCCATTGGGAGCTTCATCAGGTAACATTAATGGAACTTGGTCAGGAAAAGCTTCTGCCATTGTTTTATGAGCTTGACGAAGTGCACCAGTTGCATGATCATATCTTTCTGCTAATGCACGGTAAGCTCTATAGAACTCTTCTACCAGTTTCATAAGCTCGGGGCGTTTTCTGTAGTACATTTCTGCTCTCTTCCGGAAGGAATCAGCATCTTCTTCTATGAGCTTGATCATTGATTTCACTTTAATGTCCATATCTGCACAATTTCATGCATCGTATCAGTGAATAGATGAAAGTTTGTCATCGAAGGGTAGAGAAAGAATTAAGGCATATTAATGTTGTGTGACCATAATTTCCCTTGAAAAATTCAAAGTTTCAACTATCACAAGAAGGAAAAATAGAAGTACATAAGAAAAAACAAATTGGCAGGTACACGCTCAAAATGATGCTGAAGTCTTGAATTAAAAAGTGAGAGTACTTCCTTGAAATTTAATTGGCATAGAAACATCCAGTCTCAAATGCTTAAAAATATCTACTCTAGGAAAATAGGCCTTATCCAGTGAGAAATACATTTATTATGTTAGGATCTCATCTATATTTAGTTTTTTCCTCAGTAATAGTTAATCTGCTTGCGAGTCATACAAAGTGTCCTATGTCAAAAACAGTGTGAATAAACTCCTAAATTGTAATCATTATTTTTGCCATATAAGCCTTTTTCCAATAGAATCATAATTAGTTATATAGCATGTCTACCAGATAACTTAATTCACCAAAAGAATAGATCAAGTCTTAGTGACCAACTACCAATGTAACATCAGACCTATATCAGATGGTGCCAAACAAAAAACCAGGGCAAGTATGAGCAAGAGAAGACTATTATTAACACAAAAAATTAAATATAAAGACAGGACACATAATCAACTTTCTTGTCATGCGGTTTAAGCTCATGCAACAATGTTGCAAGCCACCCTCAGTCAGAAAGGGAGTGAATCAAGCAAAGAGCCAGGTTCATCTTTGAGCCAAAAATAGGTGAATGAACCAAATGGAGTTACATTCCTAAAGAATATCTCGAAACACATTATGCCACATGATTTCAGCGAAAGACAGGTAAAGGGTAAAAAGAACTTCAATCTCAAGAGATTTCAGAGATAGGAAGACAGTATTAAATGATGATCAAGTATTGCGACTTCAGAAATGAAATTAGTGTCAAGTTATTGTAATTGCTCAGAACTCAAGAGGAAAAGCATAAATCATTGAGGCCAAAAGATCAGATTACTGAAGATATATCGTAATACTAAATCTCTTTCAAACTACTTATTTGGGCAATGAAAACGAAGATAGATAGATCAAAAATTGAATCACAATAGGTGATTCCCTCATTCCAACACCTACCATGTACCCTTTCTATTTGAAATGCCCACATTGATTTAGATGTATTATGCTGATAATCAAACTACATAACAAAAATTCAGCTTCATATAATTGGAGCATCTGCCTTTTACTGGGTGGTTCCACGATCCACTTCATATGAACATTTAACAAGGTGATGGAGATACAAGAAGACGTGGCCTGGTGAACCAAGAGCAGCCTTTTCCCCCAGAATTTGGCAATCCAGTCCTCATGGCTCATATCATCATTTTACTGTAAACATCCATTTTTCGAGTTATTTTTAAATGTCTCCTAAGTTAGTAGTTAAGCTTTGCAATTATATTATTTAACTTATTTCAAAGTTATTTCATAAATGACTTATCCTCCCAGAACTAGTCAGTTACATCGGTAAGAAAAAAAAATCACACGCTCCACATCTGCAATTATGAAGAATGCACCAAAGGAATAAAAATATTAAGTTGGGTCACAACTTAATATAGCAGGAACATGGTTCATTCTGTTCAATTACCAGGAAAACACATGTTCAAAGAAAAGCGAAGATATGATTGTTAGCTTGATTTTACTATACTACGTTTTGCAACCAATAACAAGTCCAAAGTTTAGGTTGGAGCAATAAAAATCAAACAACTAGTTGATAAGTTTAAGACCACAGGAAATCAAATAACATATAGAACAATAGTTTATGCACACCTTAAAGAGTAATAAATTTTAAAGATAATCATGTCAGAAAACTCAATATTTATCATTTATTGACAGCGATATATAATCAGAGAAAGAATATTTCCTCACTTTCCCAGAGTATCTAAATGAAGAGCTAAAATGCTTCATTAATCACAATATTGAAAGAACACAAACCTGACAAATTCTCCTGAAGCCATTTAGAATTCTTCGGGCTTATATGACTGTCCCACCACCATGAATACAAACGTCTAGACTCAGCATGTGATAGTGTTGCCATGATTCTGAGCAAGCAAGACGAAGAATCTCTTTGTTTAACCTTTGAAAACACTTGATCCTTATACCAATATTAAAAAACTAGGTAATAGATCCAAGCCAGGTAATGGCCCAATAGGGTCACTAACAATCCAAATGACAGCTAAATAGGATGAATTTCTCCTCCTGTATTTCACCAGTTGATGAATTCTAACTACCTGCACAAATCAACAGGAGAAAATGGACATCGGCAACTAAATAATGTGCTTTATACTAGTAAAATGACCTAATAAAAGCAATCTACTCTACACGAAAGAGATTAGAGGGATTAAAAAGGATGCTGATTCCTCATCTTGGCGCCAAGAGGCAGGAAAAGGTTTTGCTAATTGTAGGCTCCTTATTAGAAAACAGCTAGGATCCAAACTTTCAGCAGAAGAAGCGCCTGATCAAAAACCCATATAGAATTTTTTTTTTAAAGGGATATCATTCACAAGTCCAACGAATATCTGAAATTTTGGGAAAAGAGCAAATTTTTCTGACATCCCACGCAAAAAATAAAACAAAAAATCTGTTAGGAAAGGATTAATGCTTCATAAATACGATATTAGAAACAGCAGAGTTTGACGATAAGAAGAAACTTAAAGAATCAAAGAGATCCAAAAACTAAAACTTAAAAGGAATCAACGAGATCCAAAAACTAAAACTATACCTAACCAATATGTAAAAGATGGACCAAAACAAACAACAAAAAGCCAAAATTGCTAAATCGCATAAACAGCAACAAACCCAGAACCCCAAAATCAATAAAAACAACCCCGGGCTCTGATCAAAAAAGGATCTTGTAGTCCATACCACGAAAAAATTTGCAGAAAATTGTGCGAAGCAGCTGCAGTGAAGATCGCCAGCTGCTTTCAGCATCCGATCTCAACCCATCTCTTGATCATCGAATAGGCCCTCTCGATCTCTCCCCAAATGCAAAAACTCCTTTTTGGTCGACTCTATATAATTAATTTAGTATTATTATACAAGCAAAAGGTAAGCAAAGGCAAAGCCAAGCCAGCAGAAAAGAGGAAAAAGGTGATAGCGAAAGAAAAGCAAAGGACAAAAAAAAAATTAAGGGAAAAAGAGAAATGGGATGGGTTAGAATTTTGTAATGACAAATTTGGTAGGTTTGTGGAGATACTGTTTTCTAATTTTTAGGTGACTGGTTGATTTCATAAGATTTTGGGTCTGAAAACAGCAGAAGGAGAATAATTTTGCAATTAATATGGAAACGGCTAATTGATTTATTAGGTGAAAAAAATGGGTTTTATCCATTTATTGGGAAATTTACGTTAGGCCCATGAACTCATTTTTAAAATTTAAGAGAAGGTTCTTATGAAAGAAATATTTGAAGGGATGAATATAAATTTTTTTATAAATTGGTCACTGTGGTATTTTGCTGTCTTTTGATTGGGTATCAATCTGTGTAGTGAACAAATCTTTGTCGTGGTGTTATGACAAAACTGCCCCTGGTTGTCGTCGTTGGGCATTTCTGGAATCTTGATCTTCTGTTAGTTTCTTATGGAGTTTTTCTTGGGTTCTCAGTTGTCTTCGTATTATTCTTGCCGAAAGTTCATGCACATTGGACAAAGACAAAAGCCCCTTTTCATGCTAAAAATAAAGGAAATTATTGGGGGATATGTCAGCAAAACTTACCTTTGTATTGTAAATTTGCAAATTTTCGTGTGACATTGGGAAAGTTTTTAGTATTTTAGGATTATCACGTAACTTCAAATGTTGTGAACCAAAGATTATACTTCCTCCTAGAAGCAAGAGAATAGGAGATGATAATCTCATGAAAGCAGAATTACGATTGCAGATGTTATACATGATTAAGGCCTTATTTTTGGAGTATAATAATACCCAAAATCATCGTCAAAAGTCTAAATAACTTTAAAAAATATTATTATGTAGAAATATGACGGGAGTAGAACTAGATGAAATGATGCTTATACAGAGTGTGTGAAGAGATAATTAAGAATTTAGTATAGATTCATATCTTCATTGAACGTAGCGCTAAAAAGATCTTGTATGCGCTACTTGCCTGGTTTGATAGAAAGAGAGGTAGAGTAAGGTAAATTAATGACAAAAAAAAAAAAATTTGATAGGGAGTTTTTAAAGGGTAAGGTGAAGTAGATTAAAATGAGGTTAGACA